ACACACACACACACATATACTAACTACACATGTTAAATAGTGAACAAGGGCCAGAGCTCTGATACACACACACACACACACACACACACACACACACACACACACATACTAACTATACATGTTAAATAGTGAACAAGAGCCAGAGCTCTGATACACACACACACACACATACTAACTATACACGTTAAATAGTGAACAAGGGCCAGAGCTCTGAGATACACACACACACATATACTAACTATACATGTTAAATAGTGAACAAGGGCCAGAGCTCTGATACACACACACATATACATGTTGTTGTTAAGTGCCGTTGAGTCGCTTCCAACCCACAGCTACCCTGTATAGGGTTTCCGAGGAGCAGCTGGTGAGCCTGAACCACCGACCTTGTAGTTCAAATGGCTTTTCAGTCTGGCGCATTGACCTACAGCGCCACCCCAGGACTCACATATATGTAGATGTATATATACATACACACACATATACCCTCCCCTCCATGTTCCCTTAGTCAATAGTATTTACCTATTACATAAAAACGTATACGCACTCATATATATATATATGTATATATATATATATGTTTTTGGTGTATACACACCACAGTGTAAATATGTATTTGTTTAAATATCTAAAGGGTACATTTTGCAAGCCAGCCTCCTATCTGCAGACATGCTGCCTTTCTCAGTCCATGGGCCTGCTACATATATTTTAACACACACACACACACACACACACATTTATTTGGAAGAATAACCAAGCAAACAAACCCTAGGACGTCTGGGGAACACTTAAGAAAGCTGTGGCAAGTAAGGTTGGGGCAGCAGACCTAATTTATTAGACATGAAAACACATGCACTGAAGCCCCAATGGTAGCATCAAGTGGCTCTTGCACAGACACAGGGGGAAAGGGTAGGAAATGCAGAGACAGACCCATGTGCCCATGCAATTTCATAGAACAAGTGGGACTGGAGCACTGGTCATAAGAAAATAGATCAAACTGGATCCATCCCTCGCACCGTACATTCGAGAAGATTCCAAATGGGCCAGGAATCTAAACATTAAAAAAAATGACATTGTGCAAGTCTTAGAAGAATACACGGTAAATTTCTGAGTAGCTTGGGGTTCCCTAACGATGACGACTCAAGAAGGGGAAATGACAGACCTGTCTGACAGAAACATAAACACTTTTGCCTGAAAGGGACAGGAAGCATCATGAGCAAAGTGCAAAGACCTCGGACAAACCAGGGATAATCTCTGCAACTTACGTCAGTCTACACCACCCTGGAGCTAATAAAGAAGTCCCAGAAATTAAGACCCCAAAACAACTGAATCTGAAACACAGATGTCCTGAACCACAAGGAAGAATTCTCACGTGTGCTCACAAGAAAAATGCAAATGAGTCTGCACTGACAACTGTGGAAAGCAGGGTGGGGGCCGGGGGGAAACTAGGATGAGACCGGCAACATGATTTTGCCTCTGGAGCCGGTCAGTACTTTCTAGAACTGTAACAGTTCCACATCAAATAGAAAACACAGACTCGCTCCACTAAAAAAGACTTATATGTAAACATTTCAGAAGTTTATGATGGAGATTACCTGTATCAGCTCTAAATTTTTCTTCCATCTTTTTCTTCAAAATTTCCATTTCTTCTAGTAATTCTCTATTTTTGGCTTCAGAGTCCTTCAGTTTACTAAAAGGAAACACAAATGGCTTTAAATATCCTGAGAAGAGGCAGGCGTGTGGCTCAGGAACAAGAGGGTGAGGGTGTGAGCTGCAGGCTGGCAGTGCGCTTAGGGCATTTCCCACAAGCACCACCACAAGTACGTTCGTCCTAAAGGTGGCACTCTCAACAAGGTGTTCTAAATGTGTGCTTGCACCTAAAACTGTGTTCCTATGACCATTTTAAGTTGGAAATTAAGTTTTGAACTGATATTACCCTCTTCAATATGTATTTTAAATATCAGTTTTAGCAAAGCAGGAGAGATTCTAAGTTGGTAACTGGAGGTGATGTCAGATGTGTGGCATCTGCTGTCCCCCAGGCGGCTGCTCCTGCTGCGTGGGGTCTACTCTGGACTGGCCTAGGCTTCATGGCACACCCCAGTTTCCCCCATGCCAGAACAGCACCCACAGCACCCACCTTTCAAAGGAGAGGTTGGCATCCTTGACACTCCTCAGCTCCTCCTGCACCAGCTGCTTGGCACGGATCTCTGCCTCGAGCGCAGACTGCAGCTCCAGCCGGGCAGACATGTCCAACTTCTGACTGCGGCGGACTTTCCACAGTGGGTCCTGGGACGACACGACACGACGGCTCAGGAAAGCCACCTCAGGACTGGACTGCCGCTCTGTGGTATTATCCAGGCCCTCTGGGCCCAGTTAGCAGCTTTGATTATTTCATACATTTTAGTCTTTCTTAGAGGTCTTCCAAAAGAAAAAATGGGCTTTCAAATGTTTTTTTGAAGAATCAAAACAAACCTGATTCTACCTTACAGTTCCCAAGCAGCTGACTGACTTCTATCAATCCAAGATACATTAAGGGCTCTTACTCATCTTAGGTTTCCCCTATCTTGGAACATTTTCCCATGTAGTCCATCAAACTAGGAATTACATCACGCCATTACTCATCAATCACCCTGAGCTATGGTTAGAAAAATCAAACCCTGCAACAGTAAGAAGGCGGGAAATGACGGATCTGCTGAAGGATGATGCAATAAGGAAATAACCCCCGTGATGACGTCACCCCCACCTGCTCACTAAGGGGTCCAACATCTCATGTCAGCTTTTCAGGAAGGTCTGAACACAGTCTGGAGACCCATCTTGGGAGACTTGGTTTAACTTGCATTTAACACAATGCAGAGAACTCAGAACTGTCCCTTCTCCACCCCCAACAGCAAAGAGAAGAACACGGGAGGAGGGTGCAACGGGACCGAGTGCGCTGCTCGCTCCACACAGGTGAGAACAAGTGTCAACGAGAACGCAGGTCGGTCCTCGGGCATGATATCCGAGATGGGTTTTCTCAAGTATTCGAGAGGAAAGCATGAAAGAGTGTTCACGTTTCCACCTGCAATACTGAAGGATTCTAAGGGTAAATAAAGGCACGATGCAGGAAGCAGCAGAGCGAAGATGGAGGGAATGCACTGAAATCACTGGACCAAAAAGAATCGGTTGACACTCAATCACTTCAAGAGGTAGCATGCGATCAACAATGATGACATTGAAGGAAAAAGTTCAAGTGGCCCTAGAGACATTAGCGAAAAGCAAGGCTCCAGGAACTGAGAGAGTACTAACTGAAATGTTTCACCCACTCATCACATCTATGCCAAGAAATGTGGAAGACAGCTAGCTGAATGGGAATTCCAGAACACTTAAGTGTGCTCATGTAGAACCTGTAAGTACACCAAGAGGCAACTGTTTGAATAGAACAAGGGAACACTATGTAGTGTGAAATCAGGGACGGCGTGTGTCAAGTTCGTAGCTGTTCATCATTATTTATCCAGTATGTGTGCTGAGCAAATAACCTAAGAAGCTGGAGCACATGAAGAGCAATGCAGCAGCAGGATCGCACACCCTGACGCAATATGCAGGTGACACACCCTTGCTTGCTGAAGGTGAAAAGGACTTATAGCACTTACTGATGAAGATCAAAAACTTCAGCCTTCCATAGGAACTATATCTCAACATAAAACAAAAATCTTCATAACTGGACCAGTAAGCAACTTGACATTAAGCAAAGAAAAGTTTAGAGTTTGCTAGAAATTTAATTTTACTTGGATCTACAATCAATGCCCATGGAAGCATTAAAGAAATCAAACAATACCCTTCACTGGGTGAAATCTGTTGCAAAGGATGTTTGATAGCAGAGATGCTACTTTGAGGACTAAAGTGCACTTGACGCAAGCCCTAGCGTTTTCAACTGCCTCGTATGCATGTGAAACCTGGACAACGAATAAGGAAGACTGAAAACAGAGCTGATGCCTTTGAATCATGGTGCTGGCAAAGAACACTGACTATTTCATCAACTGCCAGAGGGATGAGTCCTCATTGTGCTGTAAACACATGACAACTAACTTCAAGGTCAGCAGTTCAAACCCACCAGGCTCCTCTGAGGGAGAAAGACGAGGCTTTCTGCTCCTGCAAAGATTCACAGCCTCAGAAACCCTATGCAAGGTTGCTTAATGGGTTTGGTTTGTTGGGCCAGAAGAACAAATTTGTCTTCTTGGAGGGCATATAGTCATAATACTCCCCAGGAGTGAGGAAAGTAAGACTTCATCTCTTGTACTTTGGACCTGGCGTCAGGAGGAACCAGTCCCGGGTAAAATAGAGAGTCAGCAAAGAAGAGGAAGACCCTCAACAAGCTGGACTGACAAAGCGGCTGCAGCAGTGGACTCAATCACAGCAGGGACTGCGAGGACGGTGCACGACCGACAGGGTTTCCTGCTACTGTCCATAGGGTCACTGTGAGCCAAAACTGACTTCATGGTACCTGACCACAGCAGAAGGAAACATAAAATGCAGGAATGAAAAAATGTATTCAACTGATTATTCTATCTGCAAAGCAAACAACACAGCTGGATTTCTTTCCTTAATAAAATCATGAGTTGATAATGTTTTAAAATTTAACTATGATTTGATGACCATGTCAAGAAGGAGGAGGTGCAGTGGTAGGCTAGGAATTACCAGAGATGGGTCTGGCATGTGCTCAGTACTAACAAGTGGCTGTGGTCCAGGTTCACCTAGGACCGGGTCAGAACCATGTATACTGCCTTTATGGGTAAAAACACCTTCCAACACTTAGGTTTGCCTGGGTAAACTCGACCTAAAATTCTTAATAATGTTGTGTTCCCTATTCCTTTATTCTTAGTTCTGTAAACTATTCAGAGAAGTGCTTACACATATAAAACAGTAAAAGGCTAACTGTACTCAGGTTCATGATGGTGAGCAGGACAGGCCTGAGAGCTGTGGATCAGGAATACACACTGGGCAGGGACAGGTGCCCACCTGCCCATATGCCTACCCACCTAGAGAATCTGACAGGAATGTTTTATAGTCTCCAGTTTCAATATAAAGGTTTAACAACCAGCCAGGGTTATACTGGAGCCTATAACACCCTGGGGGTTTAAAAAGAAAGCTATATTGACTCAGAGAATAGATCACGGGGTGGCAGAAATAAAGCTTCTGGTGGGCAGAACACACTTCTGATCATTTAGAACTTGGCAGTTACTTGCGAGAATTAACAGTGCTCCAAGAACTTAAGATGTTCTGGCCACTGACCAAATGCCAGTGCCCTTCAAACTGGGACTCACGCCCCCAGCCTTCACAAGAGTACCTCGCGTTGCCGGACTGTCTGAAAAGTTCTTAACTGTCACACTCCTGCTTACAGTAAACCATGAATGAATTTTGTAGTAATAAAAAGGTACGGCTTAGGACAAAACCTACCAGTGTTCTTGACCCCAGACTAGAAGTCCTTAAGGCTTCCAGCTCTTCTGTCATCTTAGAAGCGAGAGCTTGAAGATAGCCCCGGGCATCTTTCTCGTCACTGACCCTGGAAGGGAAGAGGTGGTTACGTTTCCTGAGTAAGACACGTGTCCCACCAGCTTCACACTGTCCCCAAACAACCCTGGCACTGAACTAACGCCGCTAGCCACCAAGGGCCAGCCCCCAATCGGTCATTTGGTTTCCCTGCCTTTCTTTCACAGCCTGGACCAAGCCTGTTGGTAAGATGGCAGGATGGCTTCCCCAATGTGATGGTCATGGGACAAACTGCTGACCAGACATTAGATACCAGGGGCACGGTCCCAAGCCCCTTCAAGGACCAGTGTGCGGATTGAAGACAGGCCCACAGCGCAAGCACCCACCACTGAATGATTTCTGCGATCTGGGCTTCCCAGTGGGCCACGGATTCCTTCTTGGCCGCCAGGTCCTGAAGCTCATCCTCTAGTTGTCGATTCTGAGTTGTGAGTTTGTCCACAAAGGAACAGAGCTGAAACGAGACCATTTTGCAACATAAGCCACTGACTTGGCAGCCTTTGAGTATGTTGCTAGCAAGTTATTAAAAGTGTATGTCCTTCTATTATTAAAAGTACATGTTCTTCTGAGATTGAATCTTTATGAGTTTGCCAACAGAAGCTTCTAACATGGACTTTTTGATGGGCTCTCCTGGTGTGGTGCTGTGGGTTAATGCGCCAGACTGCAAAGCTGTTTGAACTGCAAGGTTAGCAGTTCAATCTCACCAGCTTCTCCTTGGAAACCCTATACAGGGTCGCTATGAGTTGGAATCGACTCAATGGCACTCAACACCACCATCACCACTTAGGCCACATTACAATTTAAATCGGAACCTAAAAGTCAAAGAGCTAGTCAGTTCAGGTAGCCAAACAGACTGTGCCTTCATTAAAAAAAAAAATTACAATCTTTAAAATACGTACCAAACTTCCAAGAATGAAAAAATTATAACTTCCACACAAAATGAGAACTCAGATATTGTCATTACCCTTTCATTTTCGGCAGTTAATTTCTTGCTCTCTTCGAACAGCATGGCCCTTTCTCGTTCATATTTATCTTTTACCGTGCCCACGGCCTCCTCCATTTCATTATGCCTATGGAGGTAAGGGGGAGACAGGGAGTCAGTATTGTTCTGGTATCCCCGAGTGGGCGTGGGTGGTGTTTCTGGGGGCGCACTGCGGACTCACCGCTCCCGCTTGGCCTTGTCCAGCTTGTCCCTGAGCACCAAGACCTCCTTTTGCAGGGCCAGCTGGTGACTCTCCGAGTCGTGGACCTCCTTCCTCACATTCTTCACTTCTAGTACGTGGGAGGCTTCGCGTCTGACCAACTCCTCCTCATAAAACAAGACTTTCTTCTCTAGCTCTGACTTGATCTTGGAAATCTCTTGTTGATGCTCTGAGGCAGCACTGGGGCCCCGTCCTCCTTGCTTCATCTGCAGACAAAGGTCACCACAATGGTCAGTCCTGTGCCCTCTTGTGAATGGCATGACGCCATGCACTGCACACGTTCAGCACTGTGCAAATGCCACTTCCTGACCTTCACACTCAACAGCTCTGCCACTGGGTATCCTCAGCAGTCAGGCACTGAGCCGAGGGACTACATTACCTTGTGGGAACATGATCTTCACCACCGCTGCTGGGCAGGTTTGGGGGGACAGTGCCCACCTGGCCTCCAGAGCCCTGTCTATGCTGCCCCTATGGTCTATCCGCAAGGCCCCTTCCCATGCATGAATTCCTGTAACAGAAGTTTGTGAGGCTGACAGGGTACCGGGCACTCTGTTGTCCTGAGAGCCAGGATGACGTAAGAGGTGGTAGGGGAGGCGTCTTCATGGGTGATGTGAACTGGGAGATGTTCAACAAGAAGAGACAGCAGGGCAGAGCCCTAGGAGGAGGGGTGTGGGGGCCACAGTGAGTCTGCTTGGAGAACAGAAGAGCTCAGGAAGGGCTCACTCAGCCACCGTGAGGGCCCGTCACAAGGCCTGCAGAGGGAAAGGCTTGTGGGATGGCTGTGAAGATGACGGGGAGACACAGACCCTGGGGATGCGGACTGTGAGGGGAAGGGAAACCTCACAATCACCATCTTCCACATGTTGTTGTTGTTGGGTGCAGCTGAGTCGGTTCCGACTCATAGCGATCTTCTGCACAACAAACACTGGTTCTGCGCCATCCTTGTTATCACTGTTACAATTGAGCTCACTGCTGCTGCCACTGTGCCGATCCAGCTCATTGGGAGGTATCTTCCACAGAAGGACACACTCACCTCAGGAAAGGGAGCCCCCACTAAGCTGAGGCTGCACTGTGCGGCCTGCAGACCTCCGGACTCTCGTCCTCTCACGCCGCCCTATGGACCCTTTGGCTTGGCCCAGGCGGCCAGCCTGTCTTGGCTCCACTCGCGGTAGTAGCGCATGGGCTCTCCGGAGCCTTTCCCAAACTGGACCCAGTGCTGAATTCATCAATCTCTTCCTTGGGGTTTAACATAAACCACCAGAAGCTTTTAGATAAGAATATAAACCAATGCTTGCTCTAAATAAGGAGTCCTTTGAAGACATGCTTGACCGCTATAGGAATGAGTGTCTTTCCTTCAAAATGACTAGAAATCCTGTTTATTGTATTCGGGTGACCTTTCTTTGACTTTCTGCTACTTCCTGAAGTGAGTAAAAGAATGTGCGCCTATTGGGTAAGGAAAAAAAACTGTGCGGCTGAAGCCCTAGCCAATGGGGTGAGATACAACCTTAAAGACTTGCGTCAGGGATAAAACCCAAGTGGACTGCCCACTCGGTGTGCACGCTGGACTCTTCCTATACAGCTATGTGCACGCACCATTCTGCAGAAACTTTTCCCATGCTGAGGTAATTTAGTCTCAGCGAGTGTCTTTCTGTGCAATATCAGGGTTCATTTCTACCACTGCTAACTGGAAGGATAGACGTTCAAATCCATCAGCAACTCTTTTCCCCTGGAGAATCCAGCCAGGAAACCTTATACGGCAGTTCTGCCCTGTCCCAGAGGGTCGCTATGAGTCAGCATCAACTCAACAACAACAACACTTAGCTGGAAAGTGAAATGTGAATCTATTCTACCACTTCCTGTATCTTGTTCAGAAGAATCCCTCATATAAAACACAGTCTGAGACGTATGCTATATACTCTGGATCACTGGCACCATTAAAAGTCTGTAAGGAAACACACTGATTTTCTCTGTCTGTTTAGAAGGAAGAGCCAAGCCAATACTACCTTGAGGGCCTCGAGCTCACTTTCCACTTGCTTGGAGAAGTTTTCGCTATGTTCACGGAGTTTGCGTTCCTTTGAAGCCTCGGCAACAGCATCCTCAAGCTGACCTTCCAGCTATGAAGAGGAGACCCAGGAATGGATTAACACAGAACAGCTCCATCTCTACCCAAAAGGCCCCCTCCCCAGTGAGCAAAATCTGGAGAACTTTGCATTTCTTCAGCCTTCATCAAATTCATCACATTGAGAAATACACTTCAAGGGCATAACCAGGATGGTTGATTAGTAATAAAACAAGCTTAAAATAAAATTTAAATGGATAATCTGGGATTATAGTGTTATTCCATCTACAATTAGAACACTAATTCTTAATAAAGAGCTTCACCAACTTGAATCGTAGGCTGTTATTTCTCCAAATTTATCTGGGTTGCAAAACAAAATGTCGAAGAAAACAAGCAGGCTTCTTGAGGTTACCTGACAGAAAGACCTGAACAGAAAAGGAACGAAGGTGTGTGTCCAGGTCTCCCAATTAGTTCTATTATCCAGGTCGATGTCAGTAGGGTTTTGGACAGACACTGTGTGGCTTAAATAAGTCACCCTTCATGGGTAGCATATTCAAAACATCAGGACAGCAGTTCTGAGTGGGGTCTGAGAGCCTGTGGGACCCCCAGCATCCCCAGGGGCTCTGTTAGGTCCTAGATGGCTTTCCTTATAGGCTTCAGCCCAAACAAGTAACCCAACAGTGCCACGCTCACAAAGGAAAAAGGAAACCGTAAAAATGTTCCCACTAAATGTTTTGCAAAATAGTTATTTTCATAAAAAATAATATTTAAATTTAAAACATGTCATGGAGCGAAAAAGCAAGTATTAAAAAGAGCCAGTTTTCATTCCTAACGTGGAACATTGTTAAGTATAATTGACGTAAACAAGAGCTTGAGGGCTTCATAATGTCTGAGAGCCTCAAGGTGTCCCGAGACCAGGAAGATCCGCAGCTGCCGGCCCCGGGGACCTGAGCTAAGTCTATGTCCATCATCCTTCATGATGGGCAGGTGAGTGCCCAGCACAGCACAGCGCAGGCCCGTCCTATTAGCTCTTTATGACAACCTGCACCGACCCTGAAAAGCAACTGCAAGCAACTGCACTGTAGGAACCTCTTATTAACTTCAAAGCTGACAGCAGCCTGCCCACTACGGAATCGACATCTGGTAGACCAACCTGGTGGCACATAAATCTAACATCACCTTAAAGTGGTTTGTGCAAGGCCCTGCTTCCCTGGGGAAACTACCTCCTTCCGGGACTTCTCGGATCTGCGCATGTCCTGCCGCAGCGAGTCGATTTTCTGCATGGCCACCTCCACCTCCTCCTCCTTGTCTCGCAGCTGCCGGGAAACCTTCTGTTTCTGGGAGCGGAGCTCAGCCATGCGCTCGTTGAGCTCGGAGAACTCCTGCAGTGCCAGCTTCCGCTGCTGGTGGGCATCTTTGAGCTCCTTGGCCTGGGTCTTGAGACGCTCGGAGGCTTCCACGAGTTGCTGAATCAAAAGAATTGTACACATTTGACATCTGCTCAACACAGACGTGGTCTGCACTGCTGATTCAGATCATGGCCAGAGTCAAGCATTCACCTCGGCTGTAAATGCCTCCATAAGCCACACCTGAGTCCAGGTGCTGAGCACCACTCATGTGGCATGTGGGAGCAGCTGGTTACACAACCCGAGCCTCTCCCTGCGTCACTATACAATCACCAAGGAGATGAGCCAGGAACCTGGGCACGCAGTCTAGTGACTGAGAGACTCAAGTAAAATCGGAGGACACATGACACGAATGCTTCAGATTGATATCAGAGAGTAAAAACGTGTCAAAGGAATCGCTGGATGGCTGGTTCTTAACCAGGGCTTAAGGTACGAATGCGAGCTGGTCCTTAAAGTGGAACCAAAACTCGGCCTTGCCAAGGTCAGTACACTTTGGCCTCCCTGCAGCTCATCTGGCCAATGCACTGGCTGTCCACTTACTTCAGGTCCCCTGGGGAGGACAGGGGCTCACCTCCACCAAGTGACCTGTTGGGTGACTCCATCAGATCAGGGGACCCCACTGGTTCCCACCCTGGGCCCCTCGGTGCATTACTGCTGGTGATAAGCTTAAAAGATAATTTGGTTTTGACACCTTGTACATTTTAGGGAACAAATCACAAGCCATGGGATCAACTAGTTAAGTGTATAAATTAATGTCTTCAGAAAACATGACCTTAAGTGTGGTATTAATAAATGTTTAAACAAACAGTTCACATACTGGCTGTACATCAAGTTTATACAGCAGTTATGGGGCCACGCCAGTGTTAACTGTGTCTGATGCTATTCTGCAGGACGGGGAGCAGAGCAATGGTGGACGGGTGTGAGACCCCTCCGTGTCCTCTGACCTCCTGGGATGGAGGTCAAGTGAACATGCACAGTGAGCGCCGGTGGCAGGCCAGGCGGGGAATTTGGGGCCTAGCTTGTATCAGTAACCCAGCACCCAGGAGGACTTTTGGCTTTGCTATGGACGTGAGCTGGCAGTCCCCGCCTTCCTCCTGCCTACCTTGTGGAAGTCCTCCTTCTCCTGACGTGCCACGCGGTACTGCTTCTCCAGCCCCCTCAGCCGCTGTGCTGAGTCCTCATGCTCCTGGCGGAGGACCACAGCATCCTCACGCTGCCGCTCCAGCCTACTGGAATCTGGACAAAGTCAACAACACACTAAGTCCCTTTAAATGCAGGGGCAGCTGACCTGTTGTGGCGCCTTGACTTCTGCTGCAGAAATCGCTGCCCAGGTGGGGACCTGGCTGCCCTCCCGCTCTGTTCCCCGGCCTGTTGTGTGGGGCTGGCCCCTCGACGAACCCATCAAGGCTCCACGGAGGCAGTGAGTCAGTCAAAGGCCCTTTTCTGACTCGAACTATCAGGCTTTCAGGGTTGGGAGTCTTTAGGGAGCTCCGAAGAGTATGGAGTCACAAAAGACACAGCGATTAAAATCATGCAAAGCGGGCACTGTTCAGAGAAAGAGTACAGCCACGGATCCCAGAGGACACCAAGGATGTCGCTCGAGCTTCGGGGATAAAATACTAGCCGAGTACTATAAATTCAATTAGAGACAATGATCTGCATCATGCAGACAAGAAACCAACACTTGCTGAGCCCTCTTTTGTCCAGTTTATAAAGAGAATGCTCGGTTTCCTCTGAACAGATTAATGCCTGAGAACAGAATGAAGCGGTTACTAGATTCGGAAAGGCTCACCTGCTATTTTGTTCTTCAGACGTTCAATTTCTTCATTGAGCTTCTTGATCTCTTTGTCTCGGTTGGAGTTCCCCAGGGCTCGAGCTGAACTGTGAAGGGACTGGACAGTCTGTGTGGACTCTGGGGAAAAGGGGGGAACACGAGCGTGAGCGTGACCGTGAGCAGAACTGGGCTGTGGTGCCCGTGTGCCCTTGGGGGCCGGCCCACATACCTTGCAGCTTCCTGCTCAGCTCCAACTTCTCCTGCTCCAGCCTGCGGATCCTCCTCTCGTAGGCCTCGATCTGCAGGCTGCTCTCCAGGCCCCGCTGCACGTCCTCGTCTTTGGTCAGGGTACTGGACTGCATCATGCTTTTCAAAGAGCCTCGGTCCGAGAAGGAGCTGCAAGACAGGGCAACAGGTTCGCGGCTCACCCGCCAGCACACAGGGAGCTCACGGGAGTAACCCTCCGGGGTCTAAGCTAGACTTTAAGCTGGCACACAGGAACTACTGTGTGGAGACGACACTGCTGATGGAACCGCCGTTAGAAAAGCGCTTCCTTTCTGCAGATGACTTGGGGGTCAACAGGGGACTGGACTGCAGAGGGCTTCTGGAGAGCTGCAAAGGAGGGGGACTCACTTCTCGAGCATCCCCTAGGCTCCCTGAGGGACGGGAGAAGCAGCACTTCCGGAAGCCTGGGTGACCTGTGGCAGCCCCTTTTCTACATGCTGAGGCTCTGGCAGCACGGAGCCTGGCTGACCTCGGAGCACAGTCATCTCGCTCAGCTGCTCTGTGGTGGCGTGTCGCACGAGGGGGAGCCCTGCCTGGCTTTTCATGTGACGGTGAGTTCAGGAGGAATCCACTAAAGGTGCTGAGCACCATCACTCCTGCACTATGGGGAGGGAACCCTGGGGTGTCTGAGGAACACCCCTATGAGCAGGGGCAGCAGGAAGGTCCAGGGCCATCATCCTAGTGAGTTTCCCGGGCATGGTACCTCATGTGCTGCTCAGCCCTGCCATGTCACACAAGCTCAGGCAGAAATGACCCCTCTCCTGAAGGCAGCTCCTTGACCAGGGACCAGTGTCGAGAAGGCATGTGAGTCACAAGCTGTGGCTTCTGTTACACACACTGTTTGTTGTTTGAGTTCACCTGGCTTTCTTCCTAAATCTTCTCCTCTGGGGCCAACGTGCCCCACCCAGGAAGCATAGCATGTTCGGAGGCCCATTATGGTCACAGCCAACGGACAAGTCACCTACCATGGACTACACTTCAGGGCCACCAATGGGACCTACCGAGCGGAGGCAAAGTTCGAACACATGGAAGCACAGTGCTCTGAGCAGCGTGACTGGGAGCCAGGGACCAATGGCTAAACCACTGACGTTCCTCCAGAATTATCTGGCCACCGCTGATGCCTGTGAGTCATCAGGACAGGCCAACTACAAAGCGGGGGGCATTGGTACAGATGGTGAGTTGACAGTGGTTGCTTTTTCAAAGATTCTCAAAGAGGAGGAAGGAATCAGAAGGAATTAACAGCACAGGACAGTCCTTAAGTGGCCACACAGCCTGTGTGCAGAGAAAGCCGACCCCTGATGAAAGTGATTCACGCAAGACCAGGTGTGTCATTTTAAAGGGCAAAACCAGGGAGATGGCTCCGAAGGCAGGAAAGGTGGGAAAGAGGAACACAGGAAGCAGTGGGAAGAGCGCTGTTATACTGTGGGGGTTACAGTCAGCGTCAGCCAACACAAAGTGCGTGAAAACCAATTGTCTCTGTAGACTTTCCCCCAAATGACAATAAAAAGTTTAAAAAATCAAAGAAAGGGCAAAACCAACACGGACTCCCTTGAACACCACCCCTCGCCCCTCTGTTCCCCAACATGAGCAACCCAGGGGGAGCAATAAATCAAGCTTTACCTTTCTGTTGTGAATGTGAACCCGATAAATGGCAGGTGTAATCCAGAAAAGCCGGTGTGAGAGCCAGGAGGTAATATTTCCTGCACAAGAACACAAGTGAGTCCCACGGTCACATAAATGGATGATACAGTAAAGGTGACAACCACGTGGCTTTCTAGAACACTGATTCCAGGGTATCGTGTGCCTGTGAGGTCAGCTCTGGCAGACTCTGACTTCTCATTCCTGGTTCTGTCACCGAAGGTACACTGTAGCTCACAAGGGTGAGTGCACTGAGTCTGAGGATAAACCCAAACTCCACCCAGATTCGTGATCCCACGCAGAGATGAACACAAGGGACCAGGGTGAAGTCGCCTGGGCAAACGTGGGCAGAGGGCGGGGACTGCTCAGCTTCCTGGCTTGAGACAGCACAGCTCTACTTTCCAGTTCGAGGATCCTTCTTTGTTCACTCTACCTGGGGCACCTGCACATGGAAGTCCTTCCCACCTAACACTTTCTGGGCCTTTTCTTCAGGTGGCCTTGGCTAAAGGTTGTTGTTAAGTGCCGTCGAGTCGGTTCCGACCCATAGCAACCCTGTACAGGGTTTCCGAGGGTGTAAATCTTTACGGGAGTAGAAAGCCTCATCTTTCTCCCGCGGAGCGGCTGGTAGTTTCGAACCGCTGACCTTAAGGTTCGCAGCCCGATTCGTAACCACTATGCTACCAAAGGTGGAGCCATCAAATCAAGTTCGAAGCATAAACATACACCCTGTTCAATGAGCTGTAAGGGGCACTTGGTATTTCTCCTTAAGCAGCTCTTCTGCTCTGAGGCTCTTCCACACCCACGGGTTTCTCAAGTTCATTCACCTCAAGAGGTTGTAAAGGACAACACATCCGCAAGTGAGAGAGATTTTCAGGAGCAAATCAGAAACATTTCCCTTCACTTGGTTAAACCTCTACCTAAACCAGCCCACATATTTATACTAAAAAGTTGGGTCTGGTGAGAACCAAATCATTTTACAACATGTGAGCCAAAATTTCCGGGGCCTAGAGTGCCAAGTGCAGTGTTGAAGCCAGTGTTAGGTCAGAGCACAGCAACAGGTATGCTTCTCAGCCAAACCAATTTGGAAAAACCAAGATCTCAAATGTCACTGGAGAGACTCAATCTATGGCTTGTGAACTCCCAGTGTGAACCGAAACACAAAGCCAGGCACTGGGAACACCAGACGGGAGACAGAGTTAGCATATGCTCTCCCACGTGGCTAACAGACAGACCCAGAGGAAGCTGGGTCCATGACAGAGTGGGGTGGCACTCTAGTCTAAGTAGAGAGAGCCATGAAAAGGGAAGCGACAGCATTTCGGATGAGTTCAAAAACGAAAGAGCTAGATGATGCCTGGGTACTACTACCAAATGCTATGAAAGAGATCACATTAGAAAGTCCCAGATACAGTGGGGAAAAATGTGGAATAAAACTTCAAATTATATAAAAAAGAGAGACTAGGCATACTAGTCAGAAAGAGACTGTAGGAACCTGAGACTATGAACCTTGACCACTCTTTAGATCTGGAAAGGAACTCACCTTTGTGGCGCAATTTTCAGTCAAGCAGTAGATAGGTATACAGGGGCTGAACAACAACAGTAAGGGATGCTCATCATGGAATAGTCAAGCATTCAAAGTAAAAAGGACAACAGTCACCTAAGGACAAAACTAAGAAGGAATAGGAAAGTGGGTGGAATGGAAACAGGAACCACAGGAAGGAAGTGGGATGAATGTTGTTACATGCAGGGGATTGCAATCACTGAGATGAAACAAAGTGTCTGATTTGTTGAATGTAAAACTGATGATATTGTCTGTAAACCCGCACTCAGTTCACAATAAAAAGTTAAGAAAAAAAAAAGAAGAGCCATGCCACTGAATTCTGCTCACACTGAGTGTCCACCATTTCTAAACGGCCAGTCAGAACCATGTGAGGATTGGAATAGTGGGCACACTGCCCGTAGAGAGCCGCCAAGCTTTTACAAAAACATGAGTACAGCTCTAAGCCTCTGGTTCTGATAAGCCACACCTTCAACACTCCCTGCGTTACTTGGCCCCACGGTGAAGTGACGCTGAGTCACGTGGCTTTTACACTCACGGTGTTCCTCAGCATGTCGTCATCCACGTCAAAGTTGGACGTGTCGGAAGGGCTGCTGACATCAGGAATGTAAGGAGCTTCTAGGTTTCGTATGTTCTCCCAATTTAGTCCTTCGAAGAACGCGTGCTTTTTGAAATCCTCAATCCCGTTCTGCCCCAACCGGCGGTCTCGGCTGCAGATGAGCCTCTGAATGAGGTCTTTGGCTTCTTCGGATACATCTGTGACGTGGGATGGGAACTGGAATCGCTCCTGGGGACAGGACACAGTGAAAAAGTGAGACATACTTAGTCTCAGAAAACTCTCAGATGGATGTTCTAGAAAATACAGTAGAAATAGCAGAGTAAAACCTGTCAAATGACAGAACTCGATAGGACCGCCTTGTTTCTCCAGATACTACAAACTTTCTGCCTTTGCCGATGCGGTCCTATCACTGTATGTGGAAAACATCGGCGTTTCCATTCTCTGAGAGGTTTCCACCCCCTTACACAGGTTCCTGATTTTACAAGGTTCACTACTGCTCCAGTCTTTTTCTTCATTTCATGTAAGCCATGGGGTCCTGGTGTGGGTAAGCACGGGACCACAAGGTCAGTTTGAACCATAAGGTCAATGGTTCAAACTCACCAGCCACTCCTTGGAAATCCTATACAAGGTCGCTATGAGCCAGAGTTGACAATGGCACTCAACAACAACAAATGTAAGCCAGAGCTAATAAATTTAAATCTAGGAAATCAAACAAGAAAATGGGTTTGTTCAGGGCAGTGTGTTATTACATCTCAATTACAGTAAAACAGTCACCATCCTGAGGACAGGGAGACTGCTGAGAGCAGAGTTCTGGCAGAGTTTACTTCTATAACATCAAGGCCAAGTCTACCTAACACATAACATGTTGACAGCACTCTATATTAACTGAGGGAAATGCAAATTACCTGGGGTTTGTGTACCCACAGGTGAGTGTACGGAGACAGAACATCTTGGGGTGTTGACATGGAAAAACGTCAAAAGTATTTTGACCAAGAGATCCTGCTTGGATGACATGTGGAGCCTCTGAGTTGTGTAAACGGTGAACGCACTCAGCTACTGGAAAGGCTGGAGTAGAGGTTACAGTCCATCCAAAAGCCCCTCAGAAGACAGGTCTGCTGATCTACTTTTGAAAAACCAGCCACTGGAAACTCAGTGGAATAGAGTGCTACTCTGATGCACACAGGGGAACCAGGAGTCAGAGCTGACTCAATGGCAACTCGTCTAGGTAGCACGAAGTCATTCGTGCACGCGCAGGCAGACACCCAGCTCCTCCATCTCCAGGCCTCATGGGAGGCCAGCAGCACTGACCGCAGGGGCCCGTATGGAGATGAAATGAGATGCTGCACAGAAACTGCTCAGAGCAGGCCAGGCGGGCAGGTGCCCTGGGAGCGCCTGCTCTGAGCATCAAGCTCCGAATTATTATCTGAATAACGCTGACACCAAGAAGTGGGCAGGGTGACTTCCATCTACTTGCATGTGTCCTTCTGACTGACTGGCTTTTTATAGAATGTAAATGTTACTTTCTAAAGGCAACATTGAAGTGAAGAACAAACAGGTGGGAGAGGGAAAGCCAGGACCCTGCTCTGCTGAGCCAGTGGTCAGCTGGGACAGTAACTTCAAGGAAAGCAGTCGAGAGTCCAAGCCTGCACTCACCTGGCTCCTCCCGTCTGCCCAGCCACCACCCAAGTCCCCAGCAGATGCCCAAACCAGGACTCAGGAACCACCTTTCTCTCGTATTACATCCACCACGTCAGCAGTCGGCAGGAATTCTGCCCTGGAACCTCACCCGAATCGCTGAACTCCCCATCCCGACTGCCACCCGCCATGCTTGCCGCCCTCCATCCCAGACAGGTGTCCTGGCACTGGGAAAAACAGAACAGGGAAAACACAGGCCTTACTTCGTGGTTCATGATCTTTCCGTAGGTCTCCACCAAGGACTCGGCGTAAAAGGGTGTCTCTCCATAGAGCATCTCATACATGCAGACCCCCAGGGACCACCAGTCGCACTCGGGGCCATACTTGCCCATGCCGTCCTCCATTGCCTGCAGGATCTCTGGGGAGATGTAGTCAGGCGTGCCCACGGCCACAGAGGACTGGACCTGGGGAGAAAGCTGGCGTGAGGGAGACCCTCATCCCTGCTTAATTCCCTTCTCTAAAGCAGGGCAACAGAAAATGTAACAGTCACAAATAACAATAGCGGGCAATCAGCACTTAAAAATCTTCATAATTCCAACTTCAACACAAGTACACACTTTGCAGAACTGGATGCTCACGTTTCCTGAACACGAGGGCTCTCCCCCATCCCCCACTTTCCCAGGAAAAAGCTCTCACCACTGTAAGAGCAAGCAGCCTTGCCCAGACATCGACCACATACTGTGTGGGGACTAGAAGCGTCCAAGCCAACCTGCCCTCGACGTTCAGCTTGCTGGATTCTTGCTAAGATGCTGGTTGTGAGTGGCCAGAGATGCTGCCCTTTTAGCAGGCTTCCAGGAGCCCAAGGCCCACCCTCCGCCTCCAGAAGTGGAACATCTGGAAGCAGGGCCAGGCACAGCTGGCTGCTCAGGCCTTCCCTGCACTATAGGGAGCTGTCTTAGCCTGGCAGCTGTGGCAAGTACAGGAGAGCTAGAGGAGGCAACATCCCCAAGCTCGCTGCCACGGTCCCTAGCAGCTGGCAGAGGAACAGCCGTGCTACAGAAAGCCGTGTGGGGAGGCTCTGGAGCCTCACCGGGAAAGCCAGAGCAGGGCCTTGTGACAGGACCATCTCCACCTCAGAGGTGGGGGTCAGGGTGCAGATGTGCATCTGGTTCTCGTGGTAGAAGACCCCGGGACCCTGAAGACATCTGAGCGGAGCACCTAGCTTGGCCTCTAGCCGTGACTGTTGGCTCCCATCAGTGGGCAGTGCCAGGGCACAGACACAGCATAGGGCCCTGAGGGCTCACATTCCACAGGACTGAGGGTCAGGCAGGACCCAGAGACAGTGGTTACAGAGGACCTGCCAGCAGCCTAGACCACAGAAGCTGTAGATGCACTCCCGTGGACTCAGCAGCACCCCTCCTGCCCATACCTGGGTCCAGCCCAGTGTCCACACAGCCTGGACGGCCTGTAGGAGCCCCCTGCAGGGTAGAGAACTGTGACACGCGTCAGGTGTCACACAGGAAGGCAGTGACGTGGAGTTGAGAAAGGTTTTAAAACCCCAGGTGGGGAGGTGGTAGCAGAGCTCCATCTCAACCCACAGCCAAGACGGCAGTTCTATGGGGCTGTTTCTGAGGACTCCACAAACAGCTCAGTTCGCCAGCATGTGGTCAAGACTTTTAACAGCAGAGGGGCTGGCTTTGCGGAGAGTGCAAACTGCTGCAGCCGCTTTTTTTAGGGCACCGTGAACTGACACTAGTTTTATGAGTTGTCTTAAAATTCTGCTGCTTGAAAACATGCTCCTAAGAACTGAAGGAACTGCTCTGTCCTGGAGAAGGACTTTGTGTTAGACTTTATGACAAGGGCAGGTTTTAGAGAAGAAAACACTTCCTAACAAGGAAGAGTGTCCATTCTCCCTCCTCCCCCTGCAAGCTGCCACAGGAGAGAAGCGGACAAATCCCGTGGAGCCATCATAGATGGGAGCACTGGTCCCTGACTGTGGATGAGGATCAGGGCCAAAGCTGGCATTTATTTTACTGTGGGAGCATCAGCAGGCCCCCATCACACTCCGAGAGCCCAGGGCCCTGCCTCTAGGCCCGCCACACCCCCAGAGAGAAAACACTGATAGGAAGTCACCTGCCTCTCCTCCCCCTGCCACGGAGTCACAGTCAGGGTCTGTCCACCTGTCCTTTTGGACAGCGTACTGCGAGAAAGGACACCTGAGCAACCTCCCCCTGTGGGGCTGGGATGCTCTTGGATGCCCAGGGCTGAGGAGATCTGGAAACCTGTGTGTCAGGGGACACATATACTGGTCTTCTAAGTGTACAAGGCAGTAAAATGTTTTTAAATATCAAATATCATATCCCTTAATAGGAAATGTCAGCTGTCTAGTAAATGGATTATTCACCTTTTTTGTTCATGTTAATAAACATGATTTGTTAATTGTTCTGCAAATTGAAACTTTAAGCCCCTTGTTATTGCAAGCAAAGCCCAAAACCAAATGGAAAAGCTCCAGCAAAAATACATACAGTTCCATCATCATTCATCTTCAAACATGATCCAAAGTCGGCCAGGCGAATATGACCATTCACGTCCAAAAGGACATTGTCAGGTTTAATGTCTCTGTTAGTAAAATAAATACATCGAGTTAACCATTTCCGTGCAACACAGTAGGTCAGTCAAAGCCTGCAGTTTGAGTGGTGGCGCAGCTGAGGAAATACTACTGTGATGCTGTTAATCGCCAAGACAACTGAGTGCAGAACACCTCGGCACAGCGATTTAGTCAGGCTTGGCAGCAGCACCCACCACCAGCACTATGTGTCAGGAACTTATTTAGCCCAATTTGCCCAATGAAGCCCCCATTACTCCTATCCACCCCCTGATAAGTGTCTGCTGGGCCAGGCCTTGCTCTTGACCCTGGGCCTACACCCGTGAACGAGACAACGCTACTCCTGACAGCAATAAGCAAACGAGCGGTTGTTGTTGTCAAATGCCATCGAGTCGGTTCCGACCCATAGCAACCCTGTATAGGGTGGGTTTCCGGGGAGCAGCTGGTGAGCTTGAACTCTGATGGACTACAACAAGGTCATGACAAGGGTGGGGAGGGCTACTGTGAGGGGGTGACACTTGAGCAAATGCCGATCAAGTACACAGCTACTGGGGCTAACAAATCACCATGCACCCCGAGAATGGCAACTTACAAAGGAGGCATGGAGGACTCAACAGCTGAGTGACCCCCCCCAAAGTCACACAGCAGCAGGTAAACACAAGCCAGTCTTATTAAAGCCCATTTTTCTATGCAGCTCCCAAAGCAGACGAACATCAAAAAGACCAGGCTTACAGGTAACACAGAAACTGGAGGAAGCCCCGAGACTACAGCCCTTAGTCCCCCTTCAACCCTGGCACTGAGCTCGCCCCTGTGGCTCCACTTCCAGCCAAACAATAGACAGGTCTATACTGCAAGGTGAGACCTCCCGACAATAGACAGGTCTATACTGCAAGGTGAGACCTCCCGACAA